AGACTAGGATTAGACATAAACCTAGCAAGGTAGTTAACACTATATACTAGGTCAGGCCTAGTAAAGGTTGTTAAGTATATTAAACTACCTATTTGTTGTTAAAAGTCCTTTAGTACAGTACTTTCTTCTAGGTTTTTACTAAGTTTAATACCTATAGGCAGAGGTATATATTTAGGCAAGTTATCTTGCTTATTATACTTTTTAAGTATATTAGCAATAAAGTTCCTTTGTGTTATTATTAGAGATTTCTTCTTTCTATCCCTAATTATCTCTACACTAAGGAACTCTCTAATCTTACCTAGATTTGTAACTTCTAATTTAGAAGTAGTAGTTAGGTCTTTATAGAGACTCTGTACAAGGTTTATATCTTTTACAAATACTAGTATATTATCTACATGTGTTGCTAGGACTATAGGCTTGTCCTTGTGCACAAATATACTAGTATCTATTCTTAGACTACTAAATCCTAGCTTTTGTAGAATATTAGTTAAGAATAGCTACTATTGTCTACTAGCTTGTTTCAAGCTATACAGAGCTTTGTTTAACTTGCATACTATAGTAGAATAGTTCTTATCTTCTATAGCAGTACAAATAGAGTTTAGAAGATCTTTATCTGTAGTTTCTTCTTTAGCTCATTGTAGTATGTACTTTTCTAGGCCTATAGGCAGTTGCGTATAGATGTTATCTATATCTATATCTGCATTAGGGAACGCTTGCTTTACATCCTATGTGTAGATTTCCTAATCTAAATAGGCAAATATAGATAGAAGTAGCCTAATTAAGCTAGGCTTGCTAGTAGATGTAAAGGTTTCTTTATAGTTTATACTATACTTTTGTAGAAAGCCTTTAGCAACCTACCTAGCCTTGTACTTCTTAATAGTATTGTCTAAGTTATATTTCTTAGTAAGAACATACCTGCCCTTTATAACAGAGGCAGTCTTTAGTCTCTTAATAATAGACTAGGTGTTACTTTTAATTAGATCCTCTACCTCTACTTGCATAGCTTTTAGGTAGAGGTCTTTATTACTTCTAAGTAACACTTCCTTTAGGCTTCTAGGTTCTTCTAAGTTATTGCTATTAGAAGTAGCAAGTATATTCTCTAATATTGCTTTGTTATATAGAGATTTCCAGTCTTGCTTGCTATTAGCTTTATTAATAGCACTTGTAGCAATACTATTTTAACTAGTGTCTTCTTTAATAATAGAAGTATAGACAGCTAGTTCATCTTCAGAACTATCCTCTAGCTCTTTTACTCTAGGCAAGTTATCTATTACACTAGAAGTAGAAGGTTTCTTATTAATAACAACCTTAGGATTTCTTCCTATAATTCTATACGTAGAGCTACTAGATCTATTAGGCTGTAGTCTAGTAAATACTCTCTAAATATTGTTGTTGTTATTAGGCTTATAGAAATAACCTTCTATAATTTTACAATCTCTAGCAGTTATAATCTTATTACTACTAGGATTGTAGAGTTTATAGATATTAGACCCTACAAAGCCTATTAAGTAAAAAGGCGTAGCCTTAGAATCTAGCTTCTTAGTAAACAAGCTAGGTTCCTTGTAGTACGCTAAAGAGC